GTTGGTGATGCGACCAAGGATCCATTCCTGGGGAGGTGTGTTATTCTCGTAAATTATGACCATTTGGCCAATTTGAATGTTGGAATTGGGTTTGAGCCATTTGGAGCGCGCTTGAAATATATAAATATAAATAATCACGCCTCCATAGCTCCCATAACTGTTGCTTCAAGTACGTTACGCGCTGCCACCGCGTGAGATACGATGGTCTGCTCCCGTCAATTGGAGTACCAGTACGGATATCAAAGAGCACCCAATCAGCAAGTGCGCTGGGCTAAGCGCCTCTCCATTTTTTTTACGCGACTCCCGTTGCTTGACGTGCAACCCACCTCCCGCCCAACCGACCGAGGGGCGCTGCCGTCTGACGTACGGCTCGGAACACGGGGATAGATCCGAGTGGATTAGTAAAGATACGAGGAAAGTTAGTTTAATGCTAAATGGATTAGTATCGAAACTTTCAAAGTGTTAGGAGAAGAGTTAGAGAGTTATGAGATCATAATATAAAAATCATTGTAGTTTGAACGTAGTACCAGAAATGGTTCACGTTGGGCAAAGTTCGAACTACAATGTTCTAAGGATAGAGTAATACAGTTTCTAGTAATCCTAAGGGCTACATGGATATTCAAGCGGCCTGGCTATCAATTTCACCCTTAAGAAGATTATGGATAAAGACGACAGCAAGCATAGTCCTACGATTATCAAGAGATGGAAAAATAAATTAGTAAGTGTCTACTTTTATAAGAGGGTAGGTGTTTGTTTGCATCCCAGTTAAGACCGCGAAGAGCAAATATTAAAAAATTCTTTTGTATGGATTCAATAAGGCCCCATACTGGGATCCAAGATACATAATCCATATTCCAGAATCGGACGAACTAAAGAAATAAAAATTGGTAACATACCAAGCACTCCTCTAGCTTTATTAACCATAAAGGAAATATGGTCGGAAAACTTAAGTTTTGCCAAGATCTTCAACTGCATTAATTCTTTCCAGAGCAACACCATGCAGAGTAAAAGTGGCAACTCTAGGTCTTTGGCGACTCAAGGTCATTGTTTTGCCCTTAGAGCCATTAATAAGTTTGCAGAGCACTTGTTTTAAAAATTATTAAGGTCAGATTGCAATTAAACATGGTAGGAGGCATCGGTATATTGCAGACAGAGTTTGACATCGCCTGCATACATAAGTACTAGGGAGTCATTAACAACCAAGGGAAGGTCATTAATGAATAAAGTAGAAGTAAGTAAGTATAAGTATGTCTCCCCTGAGGGAACCCAGAAGAAGCGTAGACTAAAGCAGGCACTGAATTTTTAAAAAGAACTCGTTCTACTTGTGAGGGAACTGCTAATCCATCCCAGGAGATCAGTAGGAAAAAAAGACCTGGACCTGGCAAAAAGACTGGCTTGACATTCTGATGATCCTTTATAACCCCACATTCCGACAAGGTGGGTCGGGAAATAAAGTTAGGCCGGGGGATATCATAAGCGTAAGTCTGCGCGTTTATTAATAAAGGTGAATAGGTGGTTTGAAAAAACTGTTCAAAAAGATCGGCAATTTCATGATCCGTGCTTGCAGTAGATTGTCTAAACGATAGAAAAGACGGAAAGGTTTTCGATTTACGCTTAGTGTTAACAAAACTATAAAACTGTTTCGGATCTAGAGCAAACTGGTTCTTACATCGAGCTAAATAGTTCATATAACACTGAGTGTTATGCACGGTAAAGATAAACCGTGCCACCATATAATGCACATAACAGTCATTGCTATTAGTTCTTAAGTATTTTTTAAAGAATCTTAACTTGATATTTTTTAGATTAGAAAGGTGCCTTGTATACAACAGGCGATCAAAAATTAGGTTTAATGTACTATAAAATATATCTAGAGCAGTCGACATATCGGTACATGCGTACAAATCGGACCAGTCAAATTCTGAAATAAAGTTATTAATTTTTTTAAAGTCGGCTTTACGAAAACATCGAATTTGCTTATCAGCGTAATTGTTCTTCGGCTTAGTACATAGCCCCATATCGATCGAAAGATCTAATATTGGATGATAAGGATCTTCAGGGTGTGTGAGAGGTATATGGATACGGCGGCCGTATCAGAGAGGAAGCACAGATCGAGCAAACGACCTAAGAATTCCCTATATGATTTATTTGAGCCCGTTACATGTCTAACATGCCAGCAGTAAAGACTCGATGCGACGTAGGTGTTAAAACTAAGGTGTTATCGTTCATGGACCAAGCCACCTAGGGTAAGTTGAAATCACCCAACACCACAACCTATCCATGTCCGATAACATTGAGAAGACAGACTGAATGGCTGCTAGGTGCCGCTCATATGTCAAGGAATCGGACTTAGGCGGAATATAAGAGCAAGTGATATACAAATTTAACCTAGAGAATGAAATTTCAACTGTGATAAATTCTTAGTCTCCAGTTTGAAGATTTATCTCCTCGGAAACGAGATTAGAGTCCACTGAAATTAGGACTCCACCACCATTTCCGAGAGATCGGTCAAGCCTATATATTGTGTACCTACTGGGGAAAACTTCAGAATTAAGAATTTCTGGAGTTAGCCAGGTTTCGATAAACACAATGACCTGGGATGCAAACGAGAAGCTTACCGAGAACAAATTAGAAAGTTTAGAGCGTAAGCCTTTTGTGTTCTGGTACGAAAGAATAATGGATGATGTTAGTTTTTTAGGTTGGCAGGAGCGTTTACTTGATGAAGCTTTACTCCTAAAGGGCGACTTTTTTCATCTTTTTATATTTAAGCTGATGTTCTTGACCGAAAATATGTTGCGGTTAGAAATTGGTCGAACAGATATCGTCAAAAGCCATCGGAGGAACACGAATCTTGAAAGATGTCACGTTCCCGGCGTCGGAATATTTATACTTAGTGATATTTTCCACCCTAATATCGACTTTAAGTTTAGCTCGAATGTAAGCCAAGATGTCCGATTCGGTCGTATCAGGGGAAAGCCGGAAAACAAAAAGGTGTTTCTCTAGAGGAACTTCAATAAAGGGCTTTGGCGGGGCGGGTGGTTTACCCACGGTACCAGTGGGTGCCGTTAATTAGGGTCCGGTTCCTCTGGTGAGTCAAGGGTAAATTCTGTTGGGCTAGTAGAACAATTGGCACGGGAGGGTCCAATGCAACTACCTCGGACTGCTCATCGGACAAATGCCCACGCACCTTAGCAACATTTTCGGGATCCGAAATATGGGCTGTTACCGGTGTCGTCACGATTGGAGTGGTGGACGGCAGCGGTGACAGTGAAGGAGACTGTTGAACATTAGACGGAGGGAGAAGGGAGTTATTTGCATTACTGGCGGTAACCGGCGGCGGCAAACGGGTCGTTTTTTTGCGCTTAGGAGACTCATTCAACAGTTGTAAATTGTTGAACTGAGTGTCCAGCGCAGAAAACAGGTCGTTAGCTTTGCGAAAAGCAACAATTACCTGACCGAACCCATTTTTAGTCTGCCGCATAAACAATCTAATTTCCTTCTGGGCCCCACGACATCTGGCACAACGGTAGTGTAAGCCAGAGTCGGAACGACCCAAAGCATCCGGAATGGTGGCTGACTTAAGCCCTGCACACTTGAAGTGCGTAATGTTATCACACAGCCAACAGTGGACGCTTACTTGGTCAACCAACACAATTTTATTGCATTTTTTAATGCAACAGATAATATCGGACATTTAAGGAAATTATTAATAATATGTAAACCACTGTGCCAGAAAAATATTAAATGGAAAAAGAAAGGGAGTTTGAGAGAAACAGTTAGGGGCAAGAGAGTGAGCGAGAGAGCATTAGCCAGAGCTACGAGGACTTATACAAGTACAAGTTGTATAAGAGCAGTAAGTAGTGTAAGCTACGGGGAGAGAGGGAATGGAGTGTGTTTTCGAGAGCTACAAGCCGGTGGGAAATACAGAAAAGAGATCTACAGATGTTGTGCTGGAGAGGTAAGCGGTGAAAATTCCGTTACTAATAGCACAAAGAAAAGTAATAATATCTAAGAATACAGACCACAATTGTTGAAATTGGCGATGATTAGCATTGATTTTAACTCTTCATTTAGGTATATTCGTAAATATAGGCAACAGCCATAAGCTCGCTGCGATGCATCTGAAAATCCGTGTATTTCCGATAGATTTCTTGGTGACGTGTTACTAAATCTTAGAATTTCGATGGATTGAAGTCTTCTCCAATTCGCTTTCACTGAGATTGAAGGTCAGGGGAAAATGGATCGTCCCAGTGCATCCACAACTCTTGGACCAATATTTTGCATCGAATGACGACTGGTGATACGAGGCCTAGCAAATCATACAAGTGAGCTACAAGTGAAACTATGCTGCGCTTGGTGATAACCGAGATTGTAGGTAGGGTATACCTGAAACAGAACACATCTAGTTTTGGTTGCCACGACATGCCCAAAGTCTTCGTTACATCTTTGGTATCAACCTTGAATTGAAACTCTGCTTCGTTGCCTTCTATGTTGCTTGTGTTCCACTTTGCAAGCTCTAATCCAGCCTTAAAAGTATGCTAGTGACCTCTGCGCCCTGAGATGAAGCTTTTCGACACTGTCTGCTCCAGTAAGGAGGTCATCGACGTGCATATCTTCTTTAAGTACGGCTGATCCGATTGGAAACTGATTAGAGAAATTATCCGAAATAAACTTCAAGCCCCTGATTGCTAGAAATGGCGCGCAGGACATGGCGTTCGTGACAATGTTGAGCTGAAACAATTCTAAAAGCGCAGCTGAGGGTTCTCTAAAGAGAACAAGTTGATACATACGATCGTCTGGTGATTCTTTAAACTGGCTATACATCTTGCAGATATCAGCTATAAGTGCATGACGATGTAAGCGAAAGGAAAGAAGTGTTAAGATAAGATTCTGCTGGATGCTTGGTCTAATCATCAACAACTCATTCAGAGAAAGGTTCGACGTTGTTTTGCACGATGCATCAAACACAACACCGAGCTTGGTAGTCGTGATTTCTGATCTTAGGACTCCATGATGCCGGATTTCTTTTGAGATTCGAAATCAGATGCCAATTGCATGTGATTCAAAACTATGTATTCCCTCATGAATTGAACGTACATCTCCTTTAACAACGGATTGCGGCTCAACCTACGTTCATTTGGCTAAAACAGGGATTTGGCAATATCAAAAGATTTACCTAGCATATGAGGATTCACCTTAAATGGCAAGCAAACTGAGACCCGTCCAGATGTGAGAAACCTTGTGTTTGCCACAAAATGCCGTTCGCATTCCTGCTCTTTTACGGTAAAACCTTGATCGTGTGAATCAAACTCCTCGATTAGCCAAAACCTTTCTAATACGCCTTGCAGCTCCGTAGAACGTGCCAATTGCGGATTATCAGAAACCTTTCCTCCAACGATCCAACCAAGTGCAGTATTGACCAGGCAAGGAAGGCCTGGACCCAAAGAAATTTTGCCATTTGAAAGTAAATCAAAAAACGCTTGTGTGCTGATGAGTAGGACAATTCGGTGAGTCATGTAGAATCCTGGATCTGCAGGGTCAATCTGTGAGGGTATGTTCCATTGGGAAGTGACAACGAATCGCTCCGGCTGATTAAACGATATTGTCTGGGCTACAGCGAATAGAAAATGATATTCATTTTCAGATAGCCGTGATCGAATGGTTGTTGAGACAGAGAATCTCATCTGCGTTCTGACACATATATTCTTTGCGTTTTTTGGCTGTTTCTCCCGCTTTCGTGGCTCGTTTTCTTTGCTTTTACATAGATGACACTATTTATATCCGTTACTAGATTCGTTGAAAAGTATGTAACAGGTAGAAGGAAGCAATTCCGACCCTATAAAGTATAGATATTTTTGATCAGGATCAAGTCGATTAAGCCATGTCCATCTGTCCGTCCGCCCGCCCGTATGAACGCTGAGTTCTCAGGAAGTATAAGGGATAAAAAGTTTAGATTAAGCATGAAGATTCTTGAGGTTCATACGCAGCGCAGGTTTATTTCAGCATCCTGCCACGCCCACTCTAACGCCCACAAATCACGAATCGCTAAAATTATGAGAATTAATTTTCTCCGATCAAGCCACGCCCTTCTAACGCCCAAAATACCCGAAAACCCAAAAACGCGAATATCACGGGAGCTATGTTATAAGAGCTAGTTTTTATGTTGTGCTTTAGAATACGTTATGCGCATATAAATAAGTAGTTAAGAAGAATTAGTAGTATTAGAAGTCAGGAATAGCTTTAAGGAGATTTATGAAGTCCATAGTTATAAGTTGTTTTTTTAGTTATAGGGATGTACCTGAAGTGCCTAACTTATGTTATAGAATAAAACATAGTTTTTAATTGAATGCGCGGGAGTTACCGCTGAGGTCATGCATATGACATCACCTCCACCCAAACCGCATCGGACATTGTCCCACTAACGGCGGCGCCGTTCAACCCGGACATCGAACCAGCAACGCAGCGGAATCCCAAAGCTGAGTCTTGTAAACAACTGTGCCACAGGGCATCCAGCCTAAACGCTGACCTACGCTAAAGTGCAGACACAGCATATGTACCCCCACTCTAAAGTTAGCTTTCATTATGTACTCAGAGCAAGAATAAAGATCAGTCTTAGAACGACACAAAAAGAAGGCAGTTGTGTTTTATTCAAAGTGACAAGTTGTGCTACACACCAAAGGACCAACCAACGGACCAAACGGAGGACAACCTATTTCGGAATAAGGACTCTTCCAGAAGACAGCCTACCCAGACCACTGACATAATTCGGCTGCGCCTTGGTGACAACAGATGCCGGGACAGACAAGCGGGCACACCGCACAAAGGGATTTCCGGGAACGGCCACTGACTCCAGCCAAGGGGTATATAAGGAGGACCGGTTCTCTGGAAAAACTGACTTTTGCGGTCGACCTCAATCAGGTAAGATCAGCCCTCTCTCGCAGTTGGGCACCCTCACCAGGAATAGTCACTTTGGTCAGATTTACCCTAGCCCTGAATCTAATACATCCTACTCGGTCACACCGAGGGAGCACCGCCATCGGCCGTTCGCAGATGCTCGCACGCATTCTCCCAACAGACCCACATGGCCTTTGCCATCTCTCGAGCGGCGGACACAACGGACCTCGCGTTCTCTCTCGCAACAGATCCACAGGGTCTTTGCCATCTCTCACGCGGCGTACCCAACGGGCCTCGCGTTATATTATGGGTGCACACACGAATTGACGCAAAAACAATTTTGGTTTTTCGAGTTTTGTGGGCGTTAGGGTGGGAGTGGCTAGATGGAAAAAAAACAATTCTCATTTGGGGCATCATAAAAATCTACATCTTTAATCCGAACTTTCTATCACCTATAGTTACCGAGATATTAGGTTTTCTTGAAAATGCGAAAACCGTCTTTTGAGCCTTGTGGGCGTATGGATGGGTGAGGCCAGATAATAGTACCACTAAAAGATGCGCTGGCATCCAAATTTTATGCATACTGAATTTCAACTTTCTAGCTTTAATAGTTCCCGAGATTTTAGCGATTTTAGTTTTTCGCGATTTGTGGGCGTTAGAGTGGGCAGGATGCTGAAATAAACTTTTGCTGTCCCGGGACCTTGAGAATCTTCATGCTTAATCTCAACTTTGTATCTGATATAGTTCCTGAGATCTCAGCGTTCAAACAGAAGGACGGACGGACGGACGGACAGACGGACATGGCTCAATCAACTTCGCTATTGATCCTGATCAAGAATATATAACTTTATAGGGCTGGAAACGCTTCCTTCTATCTGTTACATAATTTTCAACGAATCTAGTATACCCTTTTACTCTACGAGTAACGGGTATAAAAACATCTTTGACCGTATCGACGCATGCGAATCGCTTCTAAATCGCAACAAAATCGACCCGTTTTTGAAGAGTATGGTGACTGGCGGTGAAAAGTGGGTCACTTACGATAACGTAAGACGCAAACGGTCGTGGTCGAAAAGCGGTGAAGCGGCCCAGACGGTGGCCAATCCTGGACTGACGGCCAGGAAGGTTCTTCTGTGTGTTTGGTGGGATTGGCAGGGAATAATCCACTATGAGCTGCTCCCCTATGGCCAAACGCTCAATTCGGTCCTGTACTGCCAACAACTGAACCGCTTGAAGACAGCACTCATGCAGAAGAGGCCATCTTTGATCAACAGAGGCCGAATTGTCTTCCGCCAGGACAACGCCAGGCCACACAACCTTAGTGACGCGCTAGAAGCTCCGGGAGCTCGGATGGGAGGTTCTTTTGCATCCAACGTATAGTCCGGATCTCGCACCAAGTGATTACCACCTGTTTCTGTCCATGGCGAACAGCTTGAAGTGATAGTCTGGGAAAAATGGTGAAAACAAGGTTTAAATTTAATAAAGAATCAACGAGCTATGCCATTCCAGATTCGGAATACTATTGGCTTAGTTATAGCCATAATACTGACATAAAAGGGAAAAATGGTAAAACAAAGTTTAAATTTAATA